TGCAATTCGGTTTCAAGTAGAACATAAGGTTGACGGAAACCCGGCGACTGCGCTGACGTGATGAGCCCCAAGAAAGGCGAAACCGGTCGTGGGCTGTCGACGAATTTTCAGCAACCTTATGAGTAGTGCATCGCAAATAGAATCTGATCAGCTTAATCACCCAACAAATGAGCCACAACAACCCAGTCGACCACCAAAAAAAGCTCGTATATTGTATGCCATGATTACGACTTGACGTTTATCTGGATCTGTAAAATCAATAAAGGCAGTTCCTAGAAGAACTAGGAACAAACCTGTTTCACAGATGTTTAGGCTAACTATCGTCCCACCAATTGAAAATGGTAGATCTCCACCAACTATCCAGATGTCTGAAATAATTCGTTCAGGTGTGTCTTACAAACAGCTAGGTCAATTGAAAACAGGAACGTAGAGCGAACTGAAACGTCAAAGGAAGCCAGCTGCCGCCTAATGGCTAATTTAAGTACCAGCATGGGAGTTTTCTGGTAAAAGTTATTTTCGCTCGTTTGTAAATGCTAATGATATCTTTGGTCAAGCAGCTTGATTAGTGCTTGTCAGGTTGAGTTTCCATAGGAAGGGAAAAACAGGGGTAGCCATGGTTTTGACGTATATGAATGATATTCACGCTTTGACTGATCAAATAGCGGAGATGGAGCGTTAATCTATAACCAAACAGTCGGTTGTCTCAAAGGCTAGGTAGGCTGTCAGTATGGAAATGCATGGTTTGGCACCGCTGCGGTCCAGAAATACACATTCAAACAAAGTAGCCTGGGTCTCGATTGCCGAATGTGCTGGTAAACTTTGAAAGTGTCTGAAAAGAAACCGGTGGAAAGTATCCGGTACGTTAGGCGTACTTTGCATCAAACGATCAGGCCAAAGATCATTGGACTGTCAGTCTGGCCACGCGTATTACGGAGGTCTCATTTTGTCTTACGCAACATGTGAATGAAACCCTTCGCATAAGAACTACTACCCAGTGTAACGGTGGATACTACCGACGGTGGCATGCGAGCAGTATGTTTTCTCGTAAATCCGGTTTGCGTCTCTTGAAAAGTGAGATCTATTGCAGAATGGGTGGAGTCGCATTTGACTGCATTTGAGCAACAGTCAAGAATATCCAGGGAAGTTCAGGAAGGCAAGTTCAAGGAGAAGATGGACATTCAGTTTCCGTAAACAAGATACATATGGGAGTTTTACTTCCCTGCCCAATAGTCTATAATTGTTCACTTGACGTTTTCTGATAAATAACTCCGCAGCGAAGGCCTTCTTC